GCTTCTCGGCCACGGTCATTCCCTCCCTTCTCTACGCTTGCGAAACGTGGACCCCCTTAATGGAGCATCTTCGCCGGTTGGAAACATTTAGGCTGGCCTGCCTAAGATCCATCCTGGGTTTAACCAGGCTGGATTGTGTGAGGAGCTCAAAAATCCTTGAAAGATCTGGGCAAGGTCCCATCGGTGAGCTCCTCCGGCAGGCAAGGCTCCGTTGGCTGGATCATGTAGCCCGCATGCCCAGCCACCGCATTCCGAAACAGCTTTTGTTCGGCCGGATCGAGGGGGCTAAACGGGCGCGGCACGGGCTAGAGAAGAGATGGAGTGATGTGGTACAGGAGGACGTGGAGCTGAATGGACTTGCCGATGACTGGTACCAGCGGTGTCAAGATCGGCCTCTGTGGAGGAGGCTCGTGAAGGACGCTATTGGGCAGTTGGAGGCAGTCGCCCTCCAACAACAACGGAGGGCGGAGGAGCGACGCTCACAACAACGAGCGGAGCGCCGGGTGGCTAAAGCACAGCAGGTTGGCACAGTAGGGGGCACAGGTGGTGCACCAGCCAGTCATCTCAGTCAATCGACCCGTGGCACCTGGGTCTGCCCCGTTACCTCCTGCCCGCGGGCGTTCGACACTTCACGTGGCCTCAAGGTGCACATGGCCTGGCACAAGCGTCGTGGTGACGTCACCGCCACTTAGTGGCGAATGGCGGTTGTTGTTGTAAGTCCCTGCCAGCGGGCGTTCGACACTTCACTTTCTTTGTCAGTGGGCAAAGGTACAAAATCAGCAGAGGATCAAATACTTTTTTCCCTCACTGTATATAAAGAATCAAACATATTTGTATTAGGAATCAAACATTGCAACATATTATACCATACCTTAGGAATTAAATTAAAATGTATTTGCATTTTGTATTACTGCAGTGTTAAGAGTTTTAATCTTTAATTGTTACAAGTATATGATAGTCACCCTAGCTTGACAAATCTGACTTGTAAACATGCTGTCAACTGACTTGGATATCTCCTTCTTAGTTAAGAACAAATTCGAATGTCCAATCTGACCAACATTAACAGTGCCAACTGGAAATGAGTCATAACTTTCAACACGACACTACACACCAAACCATAACACATTAAATCAAAATAGAAAATATTGGGCATTTCTTGCGGGGAAGGTGGGTGATAGTGGAGCGATTGGCGACTGCTTATGACAACTGAACAATGTAATTACAAAGCCTTGTCTCTCCATACGGCTGTTGCCGACACGCTTTGACTGAACATATGAACCTATACCAGAGCCGTTTCAGCAGAGGGGAAACAAACGTTAAACCCCCTCCTCCACGTGAGGGGATCTTTAAGATAATTCTGACACCTCCACGGAGGGGACATCCCTTCCGAATTGGCCTTCTGGGGAACCAATGTGGCAAACCTGTAATGCCATGTGAAAGTGTGGTGAGATCTCTGTGGCCATGACCATTTGTCTTGTATGTCGCCTAAATGCATTATCGCACCCATAAGGCCACCCTATATTTACAGGCTGGTTCCCCTTACTGACTATAGAACACAAACAGCTGATCTTGGGTCCAACCTGTGGTGCCTGGCCTCTGCATGAGAGCAAGAAGGATAATTTATTGATTTACTTTAATGTCTGACAAGACCATGGGGACAAATGATGGAAATCTCCTAAATACCACCCTTTCAAAGAACGTATCACATTTTGGTGGAGATCTACCATTCCCGGTCCCACACCATGAAGATTGGTAGTGCACAGAGATGGAATCATCACTGGCATACCGAGGCACGCTGTTGATGCTGGAGAGAAGCACTTTCCTGAAGCTGGACGTGAGGTACTAAACACACTGGTGACTCAACACCTCATCGCTTTCTCTTGTCGGGAAGAGATTGTGCTGCCTATGGTAAAAGAGGAGGCAGGAATCTCCTTGGAGGTAGCCCAAAGTATCCTAGCACACGAGGAAGTTAAGGGCCCAGTGAACATCGTGGCATAGGTGGCAGAGCAGACAGAAGAGGCCACAGAACCACTGATATTCATGGGGGGGGGGGAGTGGGGGGCAGCGACAACAAAAATGACGGAGGCAACGCTTAGCGACATGGTCATGGCCATTCAGGGGCAGACATAAGCACATGCCCAGGAGGAGCAACACACGCGCCGTTGGGAGCCTCTAGGCATCGCCGAGAGACCCCGTTCTCGCAAGGCCTGTAGTCTGCCACCCCGCTTCAGACAAGAAAGCCACATCCTGCGAGGGTGTTCAAGGGACTGACTACGCCCTGTCTGGGGTTTCGACTGTCGGCTTTCAGCAACAGGCAGAGTGAGCAAACCCATATCACGCAAATGGCTGCATCTCTTGTTTCATCACATCCCCACCATCACCGCCTCACCTCTTTCTCACCACCATCTGTGTATGTACCCACTCATATAGCGAATCATAATCTACATTGCTGCCGCTGCTCACTGTTCAGTGGCCATATTCGGCAAAAGAGTGGCGCAAGCTATATAGGTGGGTGGCCATGGCTGCGTTGGGGGGGGGGACAAACGCAGGCATCAGGGCATGGATTTTGGTTTTGGTCGACATGGGTACTTCGGCTACCATCATTTTCCGTACTCTGTAAAATATCGCTGATTATCACCCATTAACTTTCATTCTATGGTGGTAAATGGAGACAGTATGGGCATAATTGGGCAGATCAGGGCTCCCATGCGTATCGCTGCGATGCCACACTCCACTCATCATGGTTCAGGAAGTTTCTGCTATGTTAATTTCACGAGGTGTGGTAGCCACAGATCACCACTCATTATCTGTGGCAGATACGATTGTACAGAACAACCAAGGGCTGTTTTGTGCAGGTCCTAAATACCTCCGACACAGTGACTACCATACAAGCGTGGACAATATTGGCTCATGTCAGCTCCTAGTCTAGGAACCTAAAGAGGATAAGTGTTACGTGGTGGGGGCAATTGACCAGTCCCCAAAGGAAATTGATGATTCATGGATGGAGGCAAGTTCCATGCAAAACCAAAATGTAACGGCTTCAGCTCCGTGGATTGCTGCGAGAATGCCAACGTGTTTATCTGAAGTTCATACGACCTCCGGTGTTCTACGTTAGTGGAGCTTCAGATCGGCACAGGAAATACAGCCCCTATTTGTCAAAATTGACATAGGATGAGCCCTGTGGAAAAGACCCAGGTTCATCAGGTGGTTCAGGAAATGTAGTGTTCAAAGATTACTGCAAATATTATTATTTCAAAGATTATTTCACCATCCACTAGACCATGGGGGGGCGCCGGTCGTGCTTATGAAGACATCTGATAGTTCCATGTGGTTCTGTTTTGATTTCCAGCAGATTAACGATGGCAAACGCATGACCCTTACCACACATTGAGGACTCCTGGATACTTTGGCAAGTGCCAAATTCTTTAGTACATTGAACATTTTGTTTGAACATTTTGTTCAATGTACTAAAGAATCGAGGCCCAAAACTACATTCAGGACCCCACAGGGACTCTTTGAATTTAACAGCCTTCCTATGGGTGTCCAGATGACACCGGCCACTTTCCAACACCTCATGGAAATGGTGCTCACAGGCCTTCTGTGGGAGACTGCTTTGATTTATATAAAATATCACGTTTTCTGCAAAACGTACAAGGAGCATTTGGGTCACCTGTCATGGTTCAGGGAGGCAAATTTCAAACTGAAGCTCACAAAGTGCCATCTGCTGCAGTCCTCGGTGCATGATCTGGGGCATGTGGTCACTGAATCAGGGGTAGCCACGGATCCCCAAAAGACAGCATGCGCACGAAGAAGACTTTGGGGGTATGTTTCCTACTACCGCCGATTTGTCAAACATGTGGCATCCATTTTCAAACCGTAGCACCTTGCCACGCGGAAAAAAATCAGATATTCCAATGGGGTCTCGCAGAAGAAGCTGCTTTCGTGCAGCTGCGTTAACATCTCACAGACGTTCCACCCCTTGCATGCCCTGATTTAAGTTTGCGATTTGCACTAGATACAAACGCAAGTAAATTTAGACTTGGAAGCATGCTATCATAAGTTTATCAAGGACAAGAGTTGGTCATTGCCTATAGCTGCCATGTGCTGTGCTCAGGAGAACAGCAGTACTCTGTGACCTGTAGAGCTATTGGCTGTAGTTCACTTTGTGCAGCAGTTTTGGCCCTATCTATATGGACGCTGATTCACAGTGCGCACAGACTATGCTGCCTTGTAGTACTCACTGCACATCGGCCAGCTGGCCAATGGATTGAGCGATTGCAGGAATACTTTTTTTCAAGTTGTGCATAGAAAAGGCATCATTAACAAGACTACCACCATCGCATCCTTGCAAATGTATTATGGGTACAGTCAATTGCAGACGCATAGGCTTTGATAATGAGGCAATGGTTGCTCCAGTCGATGCTCCCATGGGCATGCCCAAGGACCTGATGACTGACTACCATCTGGGGTTGACCCTCGCCGACTTGCAGTGATGCAGAATGAAGAAACCCATGGCACCTGGGTCTGTCCCGTGACCTCCTGCCAGCAGTGAGCCTTCGACACTTCACATGGTCTCAAAGTGCACCTTGCCTAGGACACGTGCTGTGATGACATCACTGACACTCTGTGGCAAACAGCAAGTGTTGTTTTGTTGTCTATTTATATTTTTGATTGTATTCATGTCTGTGTGCATTGTCTCCGTGTCTCTATAGTGTCCATGTCATTGTAATGGCCATATCTCTGTAGTGTCCCTGTCGTGTCCATGTCTCTGTTGTGTCTGTATCCCTGGAGTGACAGTGTCTCTGTAGTCTCTGTGCCCCTGTCGTGTCCATCTCACTGTCGTGTTCATGGCTCTGTACTGGCCGTGTCTCTGGAGTGTCCATGTATCTGTAATGGCCATATCTCTGTAATGGCCATATTATTGTAATGGCCATATCTCTGTAGTGTCTCCGTCGTGTCTGTGCCTCTGTCGTGTCCGTGCCCATGTATCCGAGTCTCACCCCTCCCACGCGTGAATGTAGATGTAGTCGGCCTCATTGGAGCGAGGGATGAACCGGACGCACGTTTTCTTCTCAAACTCCAGCGCCGCTTCCTCGATTTTCTTGACGTCGCCGTCGTCTGCAGGTCACACACCGGGCGTGAGCGGCGGGGCCGGTGCTCGCACGAGGAGCGCACACTAATCGCAGAGCGCAGCCAACGGCGCCGTGGCACGGCACGAGGCATGGGGTGAAATGTGAGTGGCAGTAGCTCTGAGCTTCCGTTGGCAGGGCCTGAGAGCCGCTCCGCCGCCTCGGCCTCATGGCTCCCACTGCCGCCTCTCCCTGCGCTTCCACCCGGCAGCAGGAGGCGTCACTCATTCAAACCATGGTGCTGCTTTAATTCAGTTGACAGAGGAACTTGCCATTCATCAAGAGCTGCTTCTCTTTCATGGCCACTGCGGGTCAGGTGCGGCAATCTACTGGTTGTTCTAGAGTAGCGTCATGGTTACCACTGCCTTTGACTGGATAGCATCTGTCACGTGTGGCTTATTGACTTAACACTCATTCGCTAGGTCCCCACTGCATGTATATGACAGCAGATGAAGAACAAACATCGTTATCTGTCCTTTCTAATTGGTATCCATCCCTTCTGTCTAATAAAGCTGCTTTGAGTAAGCGGCACTGCTTCAGATAAAGCCCGGAGCGGAGTCCCTGCGTGAGTGAAATCTCCGCCCCGCAGTCCCCCGCCCGGCGACACGAGGAATCTCCACAATCCGCGGTGACGACGCGAGGCTCCCTAGCGCCGCTCTGCACTCTCCGTGTCGTGTGCACCGCCTCCTCTGCTCCATTGGCCCCAATGCGGCGTTCCCATCACAGTCACGCATGCTGGGTACACGCTGCACGTCACTGGCTTCTACACGCACGGTGCCATGTGTGTATCATGAGTCACGACTGATGTAAGTCAAAGACTCGAGGCCTGGTTACAGGCCTCCGTGCGTGACGATACCATGTGTATATAGACACTTTGATTTGTGTGTCCTCATCTGAGAGTTGGTCTGCTTCCTGAGCTATGTGGATGTATTTCTGATAGAGAGCTGCAGAGAATTCCTCCAATAATCTTTAGATCCTATTTCAATCATGAGTTCTGTTACCATCCTCCCTTAAGATGACCATTAGTGAGATCTCAATCAACAACCTCATTTTGCTGCAGTTAATTCAATGAAGCGTCAATCAGTCAGTACTTGTGGATGTGGCTTGATTCTCACGCGGATTCAAGTAACCAGGCGACATCTCACAGAGACTAAGACACCGAGTTGGGTTTCTTCTTTAGGGTCAAAACCTGTCCCCTGACTCTCCGCTCACCACCAGCTTGCCACAGCCGCCTCCACGCCCAGTCACGTGATTATCAATCCACACAGAGCACAGCTCTGAATTCTATACAAGGGCCACTCTGTTGATGTGAACTCTGCCCTCAATCTCGTCACCTTCCAGTCACAGGATGAGCAAGGCACAGGATGGACAAGGCATAGGATGGACAAGGCACAGGATGGACAAGGCACAGGAGGAGCAAGGCACAGGATGGACAAGGCACAGGTGGAACAAAGAATGAGTAGGAGGGAGGAGGAGGGGAGGCCACTCACAGAAGGCGACGGACACTTTGTAGGGAACGTAGATTAGGCCGTCCCCGGCCTTGGGCCACTTCTGCACGGAGCGACGCGTGGGGTGGACGGCGATGTCTCCCCACTCAAGCGTGTAGTCTGGGTGAGACGGGACAGTGCCACTCACTCACTCTCACTCACTCACACTCACTCACACTCACTGAGACACTCACTGTAACAGAGGTATTCACAGCGATGTCTCCTGACTCGAGCGTGTAGTCTGGGTGAGACGGGACAGTGCCACTCGCTCACTAGCACTCACTCACACTCGTTCACTAGCACTCACACTCATTCACTCACACTCGCTCACTAGCACTCACTCACACTCGTTCACTAGCACTCACACTCATTCACTCACACTCACTCACTAGCACACACTCACATTCGTTCACTAGCACTCACTCACACTCATTCACTCACACTCACTCACGAGCACTCACTGGCACTCTCACACTCACTCACTCTCACTCACAATCACTTTCTGTGAGCCAGTGTCACTTACTCACTGTAAGACACTTAACGTGAGATACTAAAATCACAATCATACTCACTGTGACGCACTCACTATTACCGACTTGAAAGAAGTGACAGTGCCTGACTGTGACACACCAAGTGTTCTGTGATAGTTGTGTGACAATACCTGAGTGTAAGTGTGATACGCGAAGTGTGACACACACTGCGTGTACGTGACACACACTGAGTGTAAGTGACAAACACTGCGTGTAAGTGACACCACACGCTGAGTGTAAGTGACACACACGCTGAGTGTAAGTGACACACACGGAGAATAAGTGCCACGCTGAGTGTAAGTGACACCACACGCTGAGTGTGACACACACGCTGAGTGTAAGTGACACACGCTGAGTGTAAGTGACAAACACTGAGTGTAAGTGACACACACTGAGTGTAAGTGACACACACTGTGTGTAAGTGACACACGCTTAATGTAAGTGACACACACTGAGTGTAAGTGACACACACATACTGAGTGTAAGTGACACACACTGAGTGTAAGTAACACACAGAGTGTAAGTGACACACACAATGAGTGTAGGTGACACATGCTGAGTGTAAGTGGCACACGCGGAGTATAAGTGACACACACTGAGTGTAAGTGGCACACGCGGAGTGTAAGTGACACACACTGAGTGTAAGTGACACACACTGAGTGTAAGTGACACACAATGAGTGAAAAGTGACACACACTGAGTGTAAGTGACACACACACTCAGTGTAAGTGAGACACACACTGAGTGTAAGTGAGACACGCTGAGTGTAAGTGACACACACTCTGAGTGTAAGTGACACACACACTGAGTATAAGTGGCACACGCGGAGTGTAAGTAACACACGCTGAGTGTAAGTGACACACGCTGAGTGTAAGTGGCACACACACTGAGTGTATGTGACACACACTGAGTGTAAGTGACACACACACGTAGTGTAAGTGACACACACACGTAGTGTAAGTGACACACACACTGAATGTAAGTGACACACACTGAGTGTAAGTGACACACAATCTGAGTGTAAGTGACGCACACTGTGTGTATGTGACACACGCTGAGTGTAAGTGACACACACACTGAGTGTAAGTGACACACGCTGAGTGTAAGTGACACACACACTGAGTGTAAGTGACACACACTGAGTGTAGGTGACACACACACTGAGTGTAAGTGACACACACGCTGAGTGTAAGTGACACACACTGTGTGTAAGTGACACACGCTGTGTAAGCGACACACACGCTGAGTGTAAGTGACACACACGCTGAGTGTAAGTGACACACACTGTGTGTAAGTGACACACACGCTAAGTGTAAGTGACACACACTGAGTGTAAGTGACACACACTCTGAGTGTAAGTGATGCACACGCTGAGTGTAATTGACACACACGCTGAGTGCAAGTGACACACACACTGAGTGTAAGTGACACACACGCTGAGTGTAAGTGACACACACTGTGTGTAAGTGACACACACTGTGTAAGTGACACACACGCTGAGTGTAAGAGACACACACGCTGATTGTAAGTGACACACACTGTGTGTAAGTGACACACACGCTAAGTGTAAGTGACACACACTGAGTGTAAGTGACACACAGAGTGTAAGTGACACACACTGAGTGTAAGTGACACACACTGAGTGTAAGTGACACACAGAGTGTAAGTGACACACACGCTGAGTGTAAGTGACACACACGCTGAGTTTAAGTGACACACACTATGTGTAAGTGACACGCTAAGTGTAAGTGACACACACTGAGTGTAAGTGACACACACTGAGTGTAAGTGACACACACGCTGAGTGTGACACACACACTGAGTGTAAGTGACACACACGCTGAGTGTAAGTGACACACACTGTGTGTAAGTGACACACGCTGTGTAAGCGACACACACGCTGAGTGTAAGTGACACACGCTGAGTGTAAGTGACACACACTGAGTGTATGTGACACACACTCAGTGTAAGTGACACACACTGAGTGTAAGTGACACACACTGAGTGTAAGTGACACACGCTGAGTGTAAGTGACACAAACACTGAGTGTAAGTGACACACACTGAGTGTAAGTGACACACACACTGAGTGTAAGTGACACACACACTGAGTGTAAGTGACACACACTGAGTGTAAGTGACACACACACTGAGTGTATGTGACACACACACTGAGTGTATGTGACACACACTGAGTGTGACACACGGAGTGCTCCTCACCTCGTTTCTCAGTCTCCACCTTCAGCTTCTCTCTCAGCTGCGCTCACAGCGAGAGACAGGGAGACAGAGTGGAGGGGTAGAGATGCACGCACGCCGCCTGCTACACTCGTCTTCACGTCACGTGATGATCGTCGTCAATGTCACTGCCCGTGTCCCACTGCGTGTGCCGAGCCATGCTCATTGCCAGGGCTCCCGCATCATTCTTCCTCAAGAGCTCCGTTAAAATCACAATCCGACTACCTCCATGCTTTGTGGCTATGTCCGGACGTTGTAAATCTCCATCACGACACTCTGGTGCTGTCCAACGACACGTGGTACTAACCTCTCCCCGTCGATCGAAGGGACTCTGGGGCCTGAAACCCGCTACCGTGACGAGACAGCAGCACGCCCTACTCCAACCCTTTAGCATCGTAGCCAGGAAGACGACTGGGCAAGTGGAAGGAGCACGAACCCCTCCATGGAAACAGTGGCACAACACTCCCCTAGCACAACACCCTGACACAACACCCCCCTGGTACAACACCCCCCTAGCACAACACCCCCCTGACACAACACCCCCTGGTACAACACCCCCTGACACAACACCCCCTGACACAACACCCCCCTGACACAACACCCCCCTGACACAACACCCCCCTGACACAGGCGGGCATGGAGCACTTGAGCCACAAGATTAAAGGGAGGGAGTGGGAGCTCGAAGTCACGTGGTCTCCCTTCCTACAGAGTCTACGATGAGCGGGGCGGACGAGGAGGTGGAGAGGTCGGGACGGGAGAAAGAGGGACAGAGACCCTCGGTGGTCAAGCGGCAGCGGAATGAGGAGTGGTGGAAGGCCGCCTGCTAAGCCCACCAGCCGCGTGTGGGTCAACTCGTTCATTAGGGGGTCAGCTGTCCCCCCTCCCCCCTCTCCCTGGCCTCTCCTCAGCCTGCTGCTGATTCCTCCCTCTCCGTGTCCCCTCCCCATGTCAATCTTCCTCTCCCCCCTAACGCGAGCTCCCCGCTTGGCTGGGGCCTCTTCCCCTCCCCCCCTCCCCCTGCCGTGTGGTGCCGTGACGTCACAATGGATTACCGCCGACGTCATGCAGCCCGTTACTGGAATGTCTCGGCGTGTTGCCTCGCGGTCGCGTTTTGCTGTCGTAAAGAAAATTCGTCGACTGAGAATTGTAGCTGGCAGTGTGCACGTGGACGTGTGTAGGCCGTGTCGTCAATCCACTGCTGTTGGGGGGGTAATTTGACCATACTCCACCACACTGGTCATTGTGGGTTCATGAAAGTAAGGAGAATAGACATGGGAGTATTTATACGCACGATAATACCTCTCCTCTCACAATACAACTCCAAGAATGTTTTATTGTTGTATTTGTCAATGTTCATCTCCACAACTGTGTTTATCAATACAAGGAGCGTGGGATCCCACTGACTACGTCCGGGTGTAACGACGCACGACTGCCGTGTAAGGAGCACAGCGTGGATGCGTGGAGCAGCGTGGACGCGTGGAGCTCAGCGTGGACGCGTGGAGCTCAGTGTGGACGCGTGGAGCAGCGTGGACGCGTGAAGCTCAGTGTGGACGCGTGGAGCTCAGCGTGGACGCGTGGAGCTCAGCGTCCAGCGAGTGCAGTTAGTGCGGTGTCACGTCGCTCTACGAGCGGCAGGCCGGCGTCGCGCTCGTCACGTCGCCCCCCGTGCACCGCGCGTCACGCGGCACCCCGAGCACCGTGCGCGGTGCCGCGCCGGAGCCGAGGGAGCCCCGGGAGCCGCCTCACCTCAGGGAGGAGTTCCTGCAGCGCCTCTTCATCCAGCTCGGCTCCAGGCTGCAGCGTCTGGGGGCAAAGCAGGGACGAGTCATCCTCTCACTCTCACTCGGAGAGATCCGCGTGTGGTGTGAGCAGGGACTCTCCAACACGCCGGTGTGCTGAAGTAGTAACTAATTGGCACGTTGTTTACGTGACAATCTTTACTGGCTGTGTCGGGCGGTGGAGGGTTACGACACATTTATACTTACGCGATCTAACCCAAAAGCCTTCATTATGAATAATATTGGTCGCGAAATCCTACGTTTAACATGTAGGATTTCGCGACCAATATCATCCTTAAGAGGTTTTTTGGGTTAGATCGCGTAAATATATAAATGTGTCGTTAAAACCCGCCACCACCCGACACAGCCAACTAGTAAGGGTTGTCACGTAAACATAACGTGGCCAATTCGTCACTAGTACAGCACTAACCGGTGTGCTGGAGAGCCAAGCCACAACATTTACAATCTGAGTACGACGTATCGCCAGTAATTACAACTAGCTTCATCAGGCGACAGCCAGATTTGTGAAGAGGTCCACCTGTTTTGTTCCTTATATAGAGGAGTAGATGTGGTGACCACACTGCTGTGCTCTTGCGCAATGTGGGGGGAGGGGGATTAATGAGTCAACGTACATTATGCATCCGCATTATACGAGCCCCAAAGGGATCATTAATCCCTTCCCCACTTGGCGCAAGAGCGCAGAAGCGTGGTCACCACATCTACGCCTCTATATAAGGAATAAAACAGGTGGACTTCTCCACAAATGTGGCTGTCGCCTGATGAAGTTAGTTGTAATTACTGGCAAAACGTTGTACTCCGATTGTAAATGTTGTGGCTTGGCTCTCCAGCACACCGGTTAGTGCTGTACTAGTGACGAATTGACACGTTCTGTTTACGTGACAATCCTTACTAGTTGGCTGTGTCGGGTGGTGGCGGGTTTTAATGACACATTTATATATTTACGCGATCTAACCCAAAAACGTCTATTATGAAAACCTACATGTTAAACGTCTCTGTGTTGCTAATCACACCTTATAAACACATGAGGTGTCTGTGGGAATGTTAGGTATAAACATGAGAACTGTATTGGAAAGCTGGAATGGACTTGCTAAGTATCATAACTCACCCTCCCCCAAGATGCTTAGAACAAGATACACCAACGAATTTCACAAGATACAAATTATTGCAGATGTTGAAAATATAAACTGGGAAAAAGTATTGGAAGCAACTGGTGGGGAATCTTCCTGGTTGTATTTAAAATAAATTTTCTTGAGTACGGCTTACGCAGAGACCCGACCAAACGGCACCGACCAATCAACATTGCACCTGGACGTGTAACATTGAACGAGATCGTATACGCTGAAGGCTTTTGTAGAAAAAGCAGGCAGAGATAATAGCAGGCAGAGATGAAATGTGGAATATCATGAACCACGTTGTGTGTTTGAAAAAGGCGAAATCCTGCAACTCTCCAGGTATTTGGCTTTATCCATCTGCACGCTGGCACACAAGTACACCCCCTGTACACAACACTCACCTACACGAGGGTCTTGTACACAAGTACTAAGCAGAGAAGCAGCCCTGCAAGTGCCCGCTCACGCCACTGCTGGCAGAAGGGTGTCTTGTAGAGGAAGCTATAGAGAGCCCCTCTAGAGGGTATTTGGTCTACTCTTCCACACTGCCCAGACATCTTGAAAAACGTGAGAGTACCCACACTGTACCCCACCACACGCGGCCTCCTCATCAACTCACTGCAGTGAGCAATCTACCGCTGGGCAGACAGAGGCGGGGGTTTAAGAAGCTTGCCCCGCTGTTTCAGCTGCCGTGCCGGGAGATCGGATCGAACCGGCGACCCGTGGATAGCGAGTCCAGCGCCCTCCTCGCCACGACCCCACGGCAGCTTCCCTCCCAGAGAGCGAGCGACGCTCGTCGCGAACCGCTCCCCGGCGGCGCGCCGCCGCCCCCGGCGGCCGCGTCGCCGATCACGGCCACGCGGCGCGCGGACGCACGGCGGTGGCGGTAAGCGGATCGGCCTCGCCGAGTCCGGGCCGGGTTTCCCTCCGGCGCTTCCCTCCGCGCGAGGGCCGCCCCGCCCACCGGCGTGGCCGCTACCGGCGCTACGGGGAGACGGCACCGCCGGGGAGAGTTTGTTTCCTGGGCGGTCGCCCACGAGTCTCTCCGCCGCACGAACTCCGCGCGCGAGTCCCCGCGGCGCGAGCCTCGGCACCCCCTGCCGTGTCCCGGAGGGGGCAGCCCGCGTCTGGACTCCGCTAGCGGTGGCCTCGTGCGTGGGCGGCGTCGCCTCTCTCCTGCGCTTCAACGCGGCCCCTGCACGCGGATCCCTTGCAGTGTCTGATGAGTTGAGTCGTGATCCTGAATTCATGAAACTAATTACCGTTGATTCGTGTTTCTTTCCACAACTGAAATTATCTGACTGCAAATTTAGTTGGATTGTTTATACCGCGTTGTTGTTTACTGTTCCTGTACTGCTATTGTCAATGTGTGGTTGTTATTTAATGTCTATTGTTAAACATGAACAGCTGATAAACTGGCTGTGCTGCTAGAAGCTGTGAAGCTGCGTAGACTCGTCCCCTGTGTCGCCGTGCCCAGCTCTGCTCCGCTAGAGGAGACGTTTGGTGCCGTTGGGCTCCCCCCGGTGTTACTTGAGGGGGGCCCAGACCAACCGGGCCCCCCACCACCCCACCGAGTCCCCACAGAGACTCTCCCAGCCGTGCGCTGTGCCGAGTGACGGCCGCTCGCAGCGAGGGGGCCGACGGGGCCCGGCGGCGACGCGGTCGCCGCTTCGTGCGGAGCCTCGGGGTTTGATCCCGGGGGCCGCCCTGGTAAATACCGCGGGGGGAGTCACCAAACGTGCACGCGGCCTGCTTCACGGCGGACGTTAAAGATCCGCGGTTGAAAACCAGCGGCGATGCGGGCCGGCGTCACGGTCCGACTCTGAACATCGCTCGCAAGCGACCCCACGTAGCGCCGGGGGCTCTGTGCACCGTGACCCAGCGCCGTGGAGGCGAGGGTTGGAGGATCGCACAAATTTGTGAAACTCCCACGGGAGCCAGGCCACCACCTCCTGGCTTGCCAGGGGATGGCGGTACAAGTGGATTCATTGACATCTGTTCATTCTGTAAGGGGAATGAGTGTTACCATCCTCTAAACAAAGTAATCTATTATCTAAACAACGTCATCGCCCATCTAAACAAAGTAATCCTCCATCTAAACAAAGTAACCCCCCATCTAAACAAAGTAATCCTACATCTAAACAAAACATATCTAATATTAACAAAGTAATCTCCAATCTAAACAAAGTAATACTACATATAAACAAAGTAATGTCTCATATAAACAAAGTAATCTCCCATATAAAGTAATCTCCCATCTAAAGAAAGTATTCCTACATTTAAACAAAAGAAATCTCTCATATTAACAAAGTAATCTCCCATCTAAACAAAGTAATCATACATTAAAACAAGTACTCTCTCATATATAAACAAAGTAATCTCTCATCTATACAAAGTAATCTCCCATGTAAACAAAGTAATCTCCCATTTAAACAAATAAATCTCCCATCTAAAAAAGTTATCCTACATTTAAATAAAGTAATGTCGCATATAAACAAAGTAATCTACCATCTAAACAAAGTAATCTCCCATCTAAAAAAAGTTATCCTACATCTAAACAAAGTAATATCTCATATAAACAAAGTAATCTCCCATTTAAACAAAGTAATCTCCCATCTATACAAAGTAATCCTACATCTATACAAAGTAGTCCTACATCTAAACAAAGTAATCGCCCTGCTAAACAAAGTAATTTCCCATCTAAACAAAGTATTCTCCCATCGAAACAAAGTAATCTCCCATCTAAACACAGTAAACACGCAGATCTGCTGTCTGTGAGAATCTGGACAGAGTCACTCTACCCAGTCACGTGGAGTGACTCACAGAGTGGAGCATCTGGGATGTTCACAGCAGCCACACCAACCACGTGGGGACCAGGTACAGCCCAGTAACCAGATTCATATGAACGCTGTGATGCTGTGTAGACATGAGTGTCCCTGTAGACTTGTCTACCTGCCCTTTCATGGACAAACGTGCGTCTTGTAAATATCCAAGCATCAAAATCAGCGCAGTACATTATCCTGCATCCATGTTACGCTCTATTTGCACTCACAAGTTGGTGTCTGGGCTCAGTTCCCCCCGTCCCCACTGCCCCCACCCCCCATCCCCACCGCCCCCACCCCCGCCCCCCCTCTCTCTACAAGCGCCACGCTGCCCCAAGGGGCTCTCCCCAGGAGCCATCGGCACAGCTGCCGCCTGGCCAGGAGCCCGCGGCACGGAGCGCGAGGCCTCCTCACCTTCCTGCGGATGCCGGCCGTGATGGAGACCATGGTGAGAGTCTTCACCAGCCCCTTGGATGAGTACAGGATGTTCTCCAGCAGCGTGTAGTCCTTGTATGAGGGCCGGTTCACCATGTCCGTCAGCAGGGAGATGGCTCCTGCAGTAGCAGCAGCACAGGCAGCACACGCAGCACACAGTTCACACAGCACCTTAACAGACTGTTGGGACAAGTGCTGTTAGCAAGCACACAGCAGCACACGCAACACATGCAGCACACATACACAGCACAAACAACACACAGCACACAGCGCACACAGTGCACACACAGCATACAAATGCAGCACACATGGCACATGCAGTACATGCAGCACAGAGCGAGAGCATGAAGGGCAAGTCATGTGAGACTGAGCAGCAAGAATTGCATTCACACTCTTTACAACATTTACAAAGGTGATCTCTACAACCTAGACAGGATAAGTCACATGCTCAAAAAACTGACCACACATCCCCAAGCAGGACCCTCCTGAAAGACCCACTGAACCATTCCTGGCCATTGTAACTATCATAATACCACATATGAATGATATAATAATCCTTTACTATTCTTGGCGTATCTATACCACCGTGGAGTGGCACAGTGATTACACATCACGTAAACACAGCGCTATGCACGCCGTATAACCGATCGCGGTCACGAGGTTTGTCACCGGCGCTCTACCCAGGGAGAGTGCGGTGAGCGTGGCTCCCCCCGTCGTGGTCGATCGCCACGCACAGAGAGAAGCCGGCACATTGAGTGGCCACTCGGGGGCTGTGTGGCCATGCGACTCTACACACCTCAGTCCCCAGTGCCCCTCACCCCAAGGGTGGTCACACAGCCCGTGGTGAGACTCCTCCTCCTCACCCTGTGCGTTACAGATGATGTCCAGGTCCTGCTCAGTGGCGATCCCGGCCAGGGCGTTCAGAGCGGAGAGCTTGCAGGGAGCGTCGGGCACGTCCAGGTAGCAGGCCAGCACGTCCGCCGCCAGCTCCTGGTGGAAGCACGACTTCAGCTCCGGCTCCATGCTCAGGTTTCTTAGAGTTGTAACAGCATACCTCAGCATGTTGCGGGATTCCTGCAACGAGTCACCAAAGCGAGCGTCAGGTTCATTCTACAGCTACATTGGACTTGTTAATATCATCAATGCACAGAATTAAATTAGAAAATCAACTACCAATAAAATGTAATAAAATTACATTTAAATTGAGATTTAAAGCTTTCGTTACTACAGTAATTCATATTCTTAGCTCTTTCGGTAAAGTCACGTTAAAGGGAAACAATAAAATAATAAAATATAGAAGTCGCGTTTAAGGAAAACAATAAAATAATAAAAAATATATTAAATAATACAATATATTTCATTATTTCATTGTTTCCCTTTAACGTGACTTTACCGAAAGAGCTAAGAATAAAAATGACATTCCTGATGAAGCATAAGGACAAATAAGATGCACAGACGTAGTTCCCGTTGAAACAACTCACGTGTTGATGCAACATAAACGAGTTGCAGGCAAGGAGGTGAGTTTGAGTTTCCAATGCAACGTAACA